TCTACTTTATACGACCGTATGGTTAACTCATTTTTGCAAAAAATGCCATAAGCCGTGTTTTAGTTTGACGCACCCCATATAGTTTATAGTTATCGAGTCATATTGTTGGAAGTAATAATATGCAGGGGCACATTGATTTTGGAATACGCCGATACCGAAACGGTCGTCCGGAAGGATTTCGTACGTCAGTACGTATAAAACTTTACGTATGTAATGTAATTTTAATTTCACTCAAACTTTAACGATTACAGATAATCAAACCAAATTAGTACAAACTTTTTTTTTAGAAATTAACTCCATTTGATGAATCAAAATTGTGCAAAATGATGGATGGTATTATTCACTTTCACAAAGTCAACCATTAATACATTTAGAGCTCATATGTGAACCCTCAAAGTTGTGATACCTTATAATAATTACCCAAATGCACTAAAATTATTAATACTGTTGAGATAGGTTACAAATTTACCAAGCATCGGTCCCTATAATCACACAGCCTGTTACACACTTTGTTGTGATTATAAAGTGGATTTTATTATTGTGTGATTATATCGATATTGAGTAAGTCAATAATTAGTATTATGAGATCTCACACAATTATTCATTTTCAGGAAAAGTTTAGAGATAAGGTAACATTAAAAACGCTAAAGTACTCCCTGAACAAGTAATCATTTATCTTGGTAACAAAAATATTTTTATCATATAAAGTATAATAATAATCTTTTAAGGTTAATTCTAGTAGCACTGTCTAGATTTTTACTAAAGATAGAACAACCCATTATCATTTCCAAAAAGAGTGTGTCATATAAAAATAGACCACGCGTTTTTAAATCATATAAATTCGACGGGTTGTAGCCTGCCACTGTTCACTTTTTAAAAAAAAAAAAAACGAAAAAACAAAAAAAAAAACGATGGACTCAAACTTAGAATCATTGAGCCGCCTTTCATTAGACTTATGCGATTTTCTCCAAAATAATGATCACGAATGTTTAACACAAATTGCAGAATCATTTCCTGAGTATTATTCTCGTAAAGGATTTGATGTTACGTTAAAAATTGGCCAATTGCCAAATGTAGAAGAGTTCTATTGTAATTCGGATGTGTTGATTTCTCAATCACAATATTTTCGAACAGCTTTATCTCACAACTATATTATGAAAGATGGTGACTCTATAATTCTTGAGGAACCTATGGTCACTCCACATGCGTTTCGAATGTTGCTTAGGTATGTTATATTTGAGATGCTCTGTTTTTTTTTTTTTTTTTCTATTTCAATTTGCCATATAAATTTATAAATTTTAATTCATATAACAATAGACTTCTTTATAAAAATGACGTTGACTTGAATACATTGGATGGAACACTTTTTATAAGTTTCATTAAAGCAGCCGAACATTTTGGCTTAAATGATATACGAACCAGATTGCAACAACACATAATAGAATGCGAGACAACATGGCTCCAAAAAAACTTTGTGAAAATTATTAATGACGTTTTCATTGACGATAGTGACGAAACAATAGAAGCAATTCAACATCATCTTATTCATAAAATTAGCACCGATCCTTCATATTTATTAGAAGCAGATGACTTGAGTGATTTGAAAGAATCATGTTTTTCAATGATTCTAAGCGATGTTCGCTTGTTTATCAATCAAGTTATCGCTTGGGATATCCTAATTTCATGGGGAATTCGACAAAATCAGACTTTAAAACAAGATGTTCCTTTGTGGTCTTTCGGGGATTGGACAGTGCTTAAAGATGCTGTGAAAGATGTTATTGGTTTTATAAAATTTGATCGAATCTCTCGAAACGACTTTTATGGAAAAATAATTCCATTTAGCAAAGTTATCCCACAGAACATGAGTAGTCGCATATTACAAAACTATCTCGACAAAGATGTTAGATCCAGATACAATGATATCTTTCGTCGTGTTTTCCTTGATGACTCAACTCTAATAAATCATTACCATGCAGACTTTATTTTAAAATGGATAGATAACCGACCAAAAAGTATATCTTCAAAAAAACGTAGAACTATAAAACGAATGTTTACTTTTAAAAAATTCAATCCTAGATCCGTTAAACAAAAACAACCATTTTCGGTACCCCGTAAATTCAACCTCTTATATCGCATCACCTCTCAATGTACAGATAATACGAAAGTATCCATAAAAAATTACAAGGAACTTTGTATTAACCGCCCTAATACTTTAGTAGTGGCGAAAGTTCAAGGATCAAACGCAATTATTGGTGGATTTGCACCAAATGGTTTAGACCTTGATTTTTTATCACTTTGCGCACCATCAATTGATAGTAGTTTCTTATTTTGTTTTACAAATGGTGAACCAAATGCAGATTCTATTGTTGGTAGAATGAAAACTGGTAATGTTCGTGATGTTGATAATTCTTCCAATTCTTGTTTATGGGTCGGGCCAAAATTTGGTATCAAAGATTTAATTATTGACTTAAACACAATGAAATGTATTTCTCAACCACAATACTATAATAGCATTTACACTGATAAAGAATTTAAGATTGATGAGTGTGAAGTATTTCAAATCAATCATTGTTAATTTAATATCATTATATTTAATTTCTTTTCTTTGCATTTATTTTATAAAATATTCATTTTATTTTTAAGAAATATTTAATTTATAATATATTTTTTATTATGTATTTTATCAATTTTATCATGTATTTTTAGATATCTACAATTATTCATCGCTATATAGGATTATATATTATATTGAATAAAAGTTCAAAAGTTGGCAACATACAAAACTCTGCTTTCTTTTTTTTTGTATACGTATTCATGCTCTTTAATTTGATTGAGGCAAGATATTATTATCGAAAACTAGCCTTTTTTTTTTCCTGAAGTAAATGTACCGGCAGTTCTTTATTGAACAATTTACTAAGTTTTAGTGATATAGAGAAGCATAGCATTGTGCAATCATAAAAAAATCTGTACGTACCGGTACCACAATTTCGGATATGTACAGTATAATCGGTATTACCTTTTCTTATTCATAATATCAAATATTTCTATTTATTTTTTTCGTACGTACCACATAACGGATATGGCTGTTATTTCGGGAATTCGTATCTCTAAAAATAGCATACATAAACAATTAACTGCTCTAATTTTGTATACTGATTCAAGATTGCAACTTGCGCATACAACGACGATGGGCTTGGGCTTTGTCTTGAAAATATGTTTATCAGACAATTGATCTTTAATGACGTATGTAAGTACGTACAAGTACGTACATACATACGCGCGTATGTAATATGCGTACGTACGTAATATGACAGAGATGTGTGAATGTAATGAACACGTGAATAATATTGTGTTTGTTATGAATTTAATCACTATCTCCTTGTTCATTTTTTGCTTAATCTATCATTATTGTTATTTCTGTGTTTGAGTATTGTAAAGCGAGAATCAGGAAGTCTAAATTTAGAATAATATTTACTATATAATTAGACTTCCCGGTTTTCACTTTGTGACACTCATTTTCACGCGGGTAATATTTTACAGCATACGAGAATAGCCATCATAATGAATTAGTATAATTATTCGGTAACGCAATAGTTTGATTGCATCAGCGATCCATTCTTAAATTAGTTAGTATATATGTTATATAAAATCAAAAGGACTAGCAGATAAGTATGTAATTTTGCGTGAATTTGCGTAACTACGTAATTTTGCATGTAATTATTGAACACATAAATTTGTACGTACGACGTAATCAAATTTTCGGAGTCAGATCTATATTCAAATCTAATGCAATAATGCTTGTCGAACTTTTTTGTAAATCCAGTACTTTATATATAACGTGATGAACATTAGCGTTATTGTAGGTGCTAAAATTGAACCACGCTAAAATTTTTACCAGAATTATGAAAATTCTTAGACTAGTCGGCTTAAATCATAATTTAATTCTGGCAATCCCGGCAATAAAACACTAAGCATTGTAAAGGTTACTTGAAAGACCTGGCGAAACTAAATAATGCTGATAAAACTGGTGACTATCTAAAATCTGATTGGCTGTTATATTAAATTTCACCAGTTTCACCAGTTTCATCAGCATCTATAATCCTACTATCACTAGGTGCCTGGATTTTATTTAGATTGGTCTTTATTTCAATATGGTTCACTCCCTTTTTTCTAATTACATGAAAGTGAGGAGTTTTTTTATACATCAGGGGCTTTGCTGTTACCGTAAGACGCCGTACAAGGTATCCCCTTTGATTTGTACCCGAGGTTATTTGTTGTGGCGTTTCGTAAGAGACCCAGGTACAAATCTTATTTTTTTTTAATGGATTAATATACTCCATTTACATAATACCCCCAGGTAATATGTCCTATTCTATACAATACACCCGCGGATATAAATTAAATTTTTATCGCGTGAAATATAAAACACCCGCATCTAATCTGGAGATAATATAACTATTTAAGGCATCGGAGAAGGGGTGAAATCTATGCCCATTTACGTGACTATGACCTTCGCTTTTACTATTCAACATCAGAGTCGTCATATTATTGTTTTTTATGACAACGGGTGCTTCGCCTCGAGCTAGCATTTATTAAATGCTATCTTCGATCATTGCGCATCATTTTTAGCAAATTTTTTTTTAATTTTTAAATTAAAATATATTAACAACTATCTAATCAAATTTGATAAAAGTTTTTTTATTTTAATCTTAGAATTATATAGAATTAAAATAAAAAAAAAATTTATTAAATTTGATTAGATAGTTGTTGAGATATTTAAGTTTAAAGTTAAGAAAACTTTTACTTAGAAAAAAT